GCGCGAGCAAGGAAAATGCGACGTGCTTAGCATATTGGAAAAGGAGGTACGGAAAAAAAATACATTGATAAAAACTCTCAAACTTTTCCATTCTACAGGAACTGCTCCTGTCCCCACGTGAAATCGCAAGGCGCGAGCGCGCGTTCAAGGTCTTCAACCAATTATATTACAACAAAAGTTGGATTGATGTGCTTTGTTTGAAGAGTTTACGTGATAATCCTAACCTATTGCTGCCACAGTGCAAAGTTTCCACTCCTTTTCTACACCATCTAACAAACAACAAATATGGGGTGCTGAAGAAATTTTTGGTAAGTTCAGGAACAATATTTTGATCAGCAAAAGTAATGCTGCCGTAAATCTCAGGGAGTATTGATCGGTAATTGCTTTCATTGAGCAGATGAGACTTCAGAACACTTGTGGAGATGTTTACTGGTCACTTCTGGTGGACTAAAAACCTCACTAGGCTGGTAGGCTTACATGACAATCTCATGTTGACCTGCCTTCGCATGGGTTAGGTTGCAGTTTTGGGCAGCGATTTGTTGAGGGACGAAGACCTGAGCTCTTTAGCGCCCAACTAACTTTTGTGTCCTCCACTTCACTACAGGGGTTGCGATCGGTTTGATAACAGTCCCATCGGTAGTGATGAACCATCTATGGAACTACCGTTCTCTCTCTGCTAACCTAGGATCCTAGCCTCCATGGAATCCGTAAAAGTTATCTAAATTTAAACTAAATTTTTATATTAGATATATTCTGTAAGAAAGAAGAATACCGATAGGAATACAATATTTAAACAGTCAAGCAAATTTCAACCTCTATGGAACAGAAAAGCCATGAATTATTTTTTAAAGAGGTCAAGAGTCCAAAACGTCTATATTTTTTTTTTACAGCATTGATGATCCATTTGAAGACAAACCCTACTTCGAAAAGAGAATTTCTCTAAAAATTAAAATTTATACATATAAGTCCATAAATTTGCTTTTTGCTGACTCTGAATGAAGAAAATTTATAGAGATCTAAAGGTTTAGTTAGGCTAGACTTAATTTGCGTAACATAACCTAATATATTGGCCAACGCAAGATATTTTTGTTTAGGAACTTTTTGATGTAGCTTATAGGCGGTAGAGTGATAATTAGCTGAAAAGGAAAAACAAAACTTTTTCACTTCTCGCTAAGTGGATGTGTTGAGTAATTAGTAGATACTCTTAAAACCGTATACATATAAGCCGTTCATTTTCCGGACTGTCTGTTAAATTTCAGCGACCTTCTCTTACCGAATAATATGTCCAAACAATAAAACTCTTTAGATTTTTCAAAGCACAGCGAGGTAAGTTAGCTGAAAGAATATACTGAACACTACGCCCAGTATGGAATTTTATATCCTGATTGCGATTACTTAACCCTGAATGTCCAAAAGACCTTTCGATTTGTTAATAAATGCCCAACGAATCTTGGAAGACAAAATCCATATTTTAATATTTTCAACTCAGGTCAGGCGTCATATTAGACCACTTTGCACTATTAAGTTGATCCGGTCCCATGACGACAGTTGATGATTCTTCTCTTTTCCGTTCGACGGTAGCTTAATTTTTTTACATTTGGTGGTTTCAACTCCGACTATTCAATCGTACAAATAATGACGAAACCGAAATATTCTAACTATTAACCAGCTACTTTGTGTTTCATGTTTATAATGTATGTATATCATTTATTCTTAGAAAATGCTTCAAGCCCGCAGTCCATTTTATAATGAACAAATGCTTAAGTGTCCGGATAAGAAAGTTTGGGAAAAACATCGTGAGACACATTTGAATCATATACAATATCAGACGCGTCGAAATATGCTAACGATATTGCGTACGATTCGCCAACTTAGGGCCAGGGGAAAACTTGACGTAAGTATTCACTTTTTTATTTGTTGCATATGTATGTGTGTAAAATGTCTTATACCCATATTAATTTATAAAATTTAAAGAAACTCAGTAAATACATCGAAGAAGTTATGGGCGATTATGTAGTGCTAAAGACACATCGTGTCATGCCCTGGAAATTCGAATTTTTGAATGAAGTCTACAACACATTGGCGCTGGCTTATATCGATCGTTTCATTCAACCGAGTGATTTGTCATCAGCACAAAATAATGCAGGTCACTTAATGCGATTGCTACGTATCCCAACCGATAAGAACAAAGATCGTCAAGTGAGCTTTGTCTTCGGCGATAAATCCACCTATCAGGAACCGGATGCTATTGACTATACAATGATCGCTTATAAGTATGTATGACTTTTACACCTAACTATATTACAGAGTGAATATGTCTAGTGAAGAGAGGGCTTACATATTGCCGGTTTTCAATATCATCAAATTTCGCATCACCCTGTACCGATAAAAAAAAAGTTCTGACTTCAAAAATTAAAACCTTATCACACATCTACAGTCTTTACATCGCAGTCTCATATTTAAAACTAGAAAGAATGGTGCAAATCTAATGATCTTGACACTCATTTTTTTTATATTTCGTAAACATTGGGTATAAGTTAACAAAATTCGACTTTTCACAGTCTCTCCTTTTCAAAAGTATTTTCAAACTAAAATCTTCTTACATCTCTTTCCTCTAACATTGTGATAAATATTTCAATTAAGTTATGAAATAAGTTGAATTTGATTTTCAAACGCGTGGAAACCCTCCTAAAGAAATGTCGTTTAGTAATTCATCTAAATTTTTAAATATGATATTGAATGTAACCTTTTAAGCAGGTGGCAACCTTCTTCAAACGTAAATGTGAAAACTAAAGATTTCTTAACACTCTTTCGTTAGACACCCGTATTTTAATATTTCCTATAACTTGTATATAAATTAATTAAATTCAACTTTCAACTTTTTCAAACAGGCGAAAACTCTATTCAAAATATTTTCCTAAATAACCTTCATCTGACAGACATCGTGATATATATTCTAATAAACTGATGATTAAGTTGAATTTAATTTTTTTTACATGTGGCAACCCTCTAAATATAGTTTGGAAATACAGCCTTGTCAAACCCATTACCAATATTTGAATAAAGTAAAGTATAAAGTAAATTGAATTTAACTTTTTAAATGGGTGGCAACTCTCTTTGAGCACCTAAAAAATATTCTTAGTGTTCAAACGAAATATTTCTTACACTCTTATGTTGAGCATATTTTAATACTTCCTTGTTTATAAGTTAGCTGAATTCGACTTTTAAAACAGGTGGCAACCCTCCAGAAAATTGTCCAACTAAATTCTTATAAAACCTCTTTGGTCTGACACCCATATTGTGATACATATCTCAATTATTTAATTCCTTTACATCAAGTAGAATTTGATTTTTCAAACAGGTGACAACCGCCCTTCATGTAGTTTAGAACTAAAACCTTTCTGAAAAACATTTCGATTGACACCCATATTGCAGTAATTCATTTAAATTAATTGAATCTAATTTTTAATCGGATTGTAACGCTAGTAAAACACCTAAATAATATTCTAAATCTTCAATCCGAAGATTCCTTAACCATCTTTCGTTTCACACCCATATTATAATTTTTCAGATACATACATAGCTTGCGAATAATTAATTTATATTTTATTTTTTAAACGGGTGGCAACCTTTTTCAAAATATTATTAAACTGCAACATTTTTAGGCCTCTTGATATCCATTTTTTAATATAGTTTTCAAATAAATAATTCCCTTAATTCAAGCTGAAAATTTACTTTTTAAACAGGTGGCAGCCCTTCCCCATGAGTGTAGAATCGATTTTATATATCTCCATACCAAGTTTCAGTCCTCTATCACAAATATTTCCCGCGATATATACTATGAAAAATTCCGTTCATATGGGAGTGCCACGCCCCCTTGTACAATCGAGATTAAAACTATCATATCTTTTAAACTACCACATCCTCGAATGTCGTCCTTCAAACTTTATTAGTTTTAGACAAACAAAAAATTTTACACTTCTCTTTATAAGGTATTGAGAGTTACAATATGCATAAATGAAGATACTGGATCAATACACTGTACAGCACTCGGTCGGGTATAGGACCGAACCAATTTTTTTAAGAGATTGAATCGTAGGTAAAAAAATAGTTTCTCCGTTTAGCCTCCGAAATCGAGATATGGGCCTTCGAAGTTCGAAATAGGAGGAGCTTTGGTAAAAAATTATTATTTCATTATTATATGTAAATAACTAAAAAAACTAAAAATATAAGCGTAGTCCGCCTTTTGCTCTTATTTAAATGGTATGTAACTTTTTTTGTGCAAACTTAAATTACTTGTGCTATAAGAGGTCAAAGATCGGGCCTCCGAAATATTAAAAACCTTATATTTCAACAAATATTTAACTGGTTTTTAAAAATCGATGTAAACGTGATTAAACACCCTTTCTTCTGATATGCAAATTTGTATACTTCGTATGTACAAATTAAAAAAATAAACATTTCAAAGGAAAAAATACCTTTGTTTTATAAAAAAAAAATATTTTAAACAAAAAAATTACTAGCCGATTTTTAAAAAAATCATATCGTTGTAATTGAAATCGAACCTTCTTTCTTCTGATTTGCGTTTTGTATACTTCGTATATAAAAGTTCGAAAAAAAAACTTAAAAGAAAGAATTTTTTTTTTATAAAAAAAATCACAAAAAGTTACCAACCGATTTTTTAAAAATTGGTATCGTTGTAAAGGCGATTAAACCCCCCTCCTTCTGGTATGCATATTTGTATACGTCGTACATAAAAATTTGAGAAAAAACACTTAAAAGCAAATAATACATTTTTTTATAAAAAAAAACATATTTTAAACATAAAAATTACAAACCGATTTTTAAAAAATTTTTAACGTTTTAAATGATACCAGATAACTTTTACTTTTTTAAACCCACAAATTTCTATTTACAAATGTACACAAAAGAAAATTTAATTAAAAGCTCTTTTTCGCTCTATACAAACTCCACCACCGAAACTGAGCATATATGCGTTATTTCGGGTTTTTTCAAAAGCATTTTTTCGGTTTTCAACCGAAACTGTTTTTTCATATGCGCAGTTATGTACAATTTCAGGGTGCCATTGTTGCACAAAAAACTTCTTCACGAACATAACGCTTTCTTTAGGTTATCTAAGATCGCAATGGGGGATATTCTGACCAAGGACACGATATCGTATGTAGGTAGCGCTGAAGTTGAAATAAAACATATATTCGACATAAAATTCTTGATTTATTTGCGCTAAAAATTAGTTTAAAAACAATAAAAAGTTTCAATGGAAATTTGAGTAACGTAACGTCTTGTAACGTCACGTTGTTGCTATTGTAGCGGCACTACTAAGCCCCGCCTATTTCGGTTTGTCCATCAGTCGCTATTATCAAGCTCAACTAACGGCAGGCCCAATAAACTGGCAGTTTCGCCATGGTTGGACCAAAGAGAGAGGGGTGTTAGTTGAGTGGGATTGAGCTGGCATGTGAAGAGGTGGTTGATAAAAAATTAGGAAAGATTTTTACATTTTGGAACATTTTGTCATACTAATGTCACGCCGCGCTATATTGGAATTGCCCATAAGTACAAATGTACTTCTCCTTAAACACATCAAAAGAATTTAATAAAAGACTAATATTTTTAATATCAGCTACAATATATTGTTATTCAAATTAACTTTTTAATGCACATTTGAAATTCGATACGATACAAGGGTTCTGGTTCTACATTCCAAAAACTATCGTTCGAAAATTATCGAGTTAAAATTATCGTTATTGAAAGGCAAAAATGTCGATATGGCATCGTATCGTATCGAATGTCGTGTCCCTACTTCTGTCGACCACAAAACCAAACGTGAACGTGAATTGTTGGTGAAAAAGTTGGAAAAAATGTATCTATAAAAAATTAATTTTCGGGCGGGACGAAGTTCGCCGCCGGGTCTGACAACATCATAATTTTGAATTTTTCTGCTATTATTGTCAAGGAAACTCATGCAATAGAAGAAAAGAAAATGTCTATAAACTTTCTGTTAACAGTTCTTTAGCATATTTCTAATACTACACTTGAACTCCATTCTCAATTCAATATCGTTTTCACTATATCTTCCAGAAAATATTTGGCTCGCTTGGAGAAACGTATTCACTTCGCTAAATACTCGATTGAAAAATGCTATTTGTTGCACGAGATCGCCCGCAGTCATCTGCGACAGAGCCGATTTGACGAGTGTGTTTCGGTGGCTCGTAAAGCTATTGAAGGTATGTACTATATATAGTAGGTAGCTCTCCCGAAATTTAGAGATCAATTGAAAGATATTAATATATTTTTTAATATAATTAATTGGCACATTCAATAAAAATCTTCTTTCCTAAAATTTTTACTCTTTTTGAAGTCTAACAATGAATCAAATTTCCTTTGTGCTAAAAGGTGCAAAAGTACTACAGTACTACAGTACTCATATACTATACCGCCTGTTTAACTACAATAGCTCTGTTCCACACGTTTTCTGTGCTGGGTTCGGTAATTAGGTTTTCTAATTAAAAATTACTTTCTTATAAATATCAAAACTTTTCAAAAGTTCCCAGAGCCTTAGAAACGCAATAAGTTCCAGCCTTCAATAAAGAAAAAAAAAACTTAAACTAATTTCGCAACTAACCAATTAAATTTCTTATGAATAACTCCCTTAAGAAAAAAATACTATGTTTGGTAGTTTCTTTCTATGTATATGTATATATATTATATATTTTCCAATTCTATCTAGAATCGAAAAACTGCAACAGCAACGTTTGGCGCTTCTTAAGCACCATACTTATATGTAAGGCCCATACAGTTCTTCACAAGGTGGAACGTGCCAAGGAAATACTAGATGAATCCTATGCGGTAGCAAAGAGCATGAATAGCCCTGAATTGATGTCTTTCATTGAGAGCTGTCGCCAAGTGAATGAGGCAGAAATATCATTGAAAAAGCGTTATCAGTCAACGGATTCGATCCGCAAGCGCAGAAGCAAAGTTTCGCTTGAAAGCCGCAACTCACAAATATCACAACCTAGTAGTGAAACAAACGATGAATTAAATGCAGCATAATATTTATATTCGAAAATTGTTGAAAAGCTCAACGATTAAAAAATATAGAAACTAAACAAATTTATAAAAATTTATTTGAGATTTCATTACGCTACTACCACTACACTTTCGCGTAATGATTGGTAAATTCATAATATTTAAATACATAATTATTTTTTGCATCAAATATCAACAGGAAATAATGTTACTCTTGTGCCATGTACGGGTATCCAGGTGTGTGTAAAACGAGTGATTAAAAATATTTCCGGATTGAGGTATAGGATATTTCGTTATTTTAAACAGCATAACTTTCATAAGCATATTATTTATCTGTTATGGATTTATTTCAGAGTAGACCCAAAAATTTTGCCATATTGAGCATTAAGTGTAAGTAAATCAAAGCGTGAATTACTATGATAGTTCATGCTTTCGTAAACTTCTTAATTGTTTTGACTTCCTGTTTAAATGTTATCGAAAAACATATCGTTTGTAATAATATATACGTTGCCAGTTTGGTAAATTGTTACCAAAATTGGTAGAAAAAACTGGGTTAGAAAAAAAGTAATTTTTGTAGATTTTTGTTGAAGCATTCTGTTTAAAAAACAATTAAAGCTTATCGTTCCCGCTTTATTTTTCCTAGTTATTATAATATTACACATTTCTTTTCAGTGTAGTCTACCGAAGTAGCACGCTGGTGTATATTGGTATATTGGTGAATTTGTGAATTTTGGTACAATTAATCAGATTTATACCAAAATTCGTAAACTTACACCAAATTACACAGCAGTGTGCTACTTGAGTACTTTATTGCGTTGAATTTTGCACGCTTTAATGCACGCTTTTTATATACATTATATACATATATGAAACTTGTACCACCTTAATTTATTTATTTTATTTATTTCTTATTTAATTTTTTATGAATTTTTTTATATTTATTTTTTAAATTTTTTATTTATTTTTTATTAAAAAAAACATATATTTTTTAAGCTTTGATTCATATTCAATAAAGTTTTATTGTTAAAACCAAAAACTAATTTTCTTTGGCACTATAAGGGGTTTCAAACTCTTGGAATTTTTGTTGCTCAAAGAATTGAGGCCTATCTACGTACAGCTTTGGCATTGCGTTGGCTTTGGCGTCGCTTCATCAGCTGACTATAAATAAATGAATTCAAATGCAGCAGTCTACATAGCCAACATTTGGCAACGCTAACGCCAACACAACGAAGAACTCATATCTATTCGCGTGCGTCGCTCGTCAGCTGTTGCAAATAACAAATAAAAATATGTGAAATATTTTTCTTTTTTCGTATATTCTTCGTTTTTAAAGCAATATTGTTATGAAATATTAATTTATCAGTCGGTAGTATGTTAATTTAGTGGCCAAAGTATTCGCTGCCATGCGTTCATTGTAGCAAGCACTGGCGTTACCCGCGCTGCTGTCTAAGCGACACCAACGCCAACGCAACGCCAAAGTTATATGTAGACGGGTAGTTCCGTTCACTTGAATATGCATGTAGATATGATGTTAAGCTGTTAAGTACTGACTTTTTAATCATGTAATTTGTTCACTGTCTCTGACTTTTTATAATCTTTTCTTTGAACTCAATTTAGCTTCATATTTTGTGATCATATAGTCACACTAAGAAGTACCAACAAATTTTAACTATTTACAAAGAAAACATTTTTCTTTCAATAAGATTCTGCTTCCGGTTTTATCTCCAGTGGAAATTCAGCATTATTCACAAATAAACCTATTTTTATTGCTAATAAAATTATATCAGGTAATAAGAGAGTGCAAAGTGGTCACAGTGTCTGGGAAAGTACATATAGAGGGCGTACATATATTCAATACGACCTCTATCTGAAGTTTATTTAAAAACTACTTTCTGATAATAGAACCCATCTGAGACTTAACTATCCTCACTGGTTTTAATTTTAAATTTAAAATTCAACAGCTAATTCCTCTGAGAAGCGATATACAATTTAGGCATTAACATAATCGATTGCAGTTAACTCTAAGGTGCATTTTTGGATGGGAATCTCTTTTTTTTGTGAAATCTCCATATAGATCGTATTGGCGCATATTCATAGTACAGCTACAAAGGCGAAACTAATAAAGTTGCAACTTAAATTTAAGTACCAACTTAAAATTCACTTCTATTCATAATCGCATTTCAGACTCCCACTAAGTAGTTTTAATCTAGTTTTACGACACAGCAAACCGAGTGTGAAAATGTATCATTTTTCTTTACGATATTTTATCGAAAGCATGCTACGAAACATACAAACACATATCTAAATGTTATGCACTAATTTTGCAGTTTTGACTTAGTTGTGAGCTAAATATGACTATGAATATGCGGCATTGTTTTTACATCAATATGAAAATTAAAGCTCGGACTAAATGTCAAGTAGCAAAATTTTTTTAACGAGTTGGGATTTTTTCAATGGAAATTTTGTTTTATTTTAAAAGACTACCAAAGAGTGTATGTATGTTCTTTTTTTCGTGAAAAATAAAATCATGTCACGGAAGGCCCGGTTGAATTGACATGAAAAGGAATTCTTGTTATTCCTAAACTGAGTGCGACAGTTACTAATTCAATCCACATAAAAAATTGATAATAAAAGTTTAATAGCTTGCACGAATTACAACAAAATTAATCAAACTTCAAAAAATCGGCTTTAAAATTTCAAATTTTTTTTTTTTTAATATTTAGAAAATTTTCGGTGTTGTGCATTTTCTTCCATATAACACATGACCAACAATTTTTTTTTATATGAAAAAAATCTGCAACACCCCACGAAAAAATTCTAAAAAATCAAGGGTAACTTTAAACGAATTCAAACTTGCACTTTATTTGTGCAAAATTGAATGGTCTACAAAACTGCATACCCGAAAATTTTCTAAATATTCTACTAAAAATTTTGAAAATTCGAGGACAGTTTTATGAAGTTTGATTAATTCTTTTGCAATCTGTGCAAGCTTTGAAATTTTTATTATTGTGGTTTCTGTTATAGATTAAATTATATTTTGCTAATTAGTTGATCGCATCTGCACATACGTGGCTAGTGTTTAATAGACAAACTCTTTAACTTTTAATAAATGTCATTAATATTTTCTTTGTATGTTAATTCTTTATTGATGAAATCCACATATTTATAATTCATATGTGTATCCTTTTAATTTTGTTATAGTACAAGGTATTTATTACAATTGATATTCTAAAATTATGCTTAAATCAATTCAGTTATATTTAAAATGTTAACAATATTTTTTTTCTTATTTGGAAGGAATGATTCTGATGAATTAACGAACGGCGTCTTGCTGTACCTTTGTTAAATCTTTACCTAAGAGGAATGGACACACAATTTATACAAATATTATTAATAATAAGGAGGAAAAAAAAATTAAATAAAATTTAAAAATTTAATGAGAAAACAAAAGATAATTAAAAAACAATTATATAGTAACAAATACATATCGCTCATTTACTTCAAGTGTCATAATTGAAAAGTATATAAAATCGAGTTAAGTATGCAGAAATGACCGCTATATGTTCATCTATTTATGTGAAAATTTAATAGCTGTAGCGTCGGCTGAGTGGAAGATCGCCCTATCTCGGCTGCCGGTTCGGAAACGCCCTATCTCAGCAAATTGTTAAATAGAAGCGCTATCTTATATTTCAACTGCCGCTTCAAAGGTGCCATATCTCAATATAAATTCAGTATTCAGCCGTTGAGATAGCGCATTTTCCCAATTTAAACATGGAAGGTTTAAAAACTTCATATTATCAGGAATAAGGGCTTTTTCCTTGCCCTTTACAGCTAAAGGCCGGTATGCAGCTCTCCAGAAAATGGAAAAGAAAAAAAATTGCCAGTATTTCGTGTGTGTGTCCAAGGAATTCTGATACTTCACATCCTGTTGCCTCACTCTTTCCTCAAGAAATAATGGAACCGGCATACATTTCTGTTGCAAGCATGTGCTCTTTTTTTATAAAAAAAAACTTTAGAAATCCGCCTTAGAAAGCGTAGCAAATTTCTTAACAACTGCGTAGTGCCTTAAGGAAATTTAACACAAGAACATTTCTTAGTCATTTCTTGTACGTCATTTTATGTAGAGTTTTTGCTTTTCTTGAGAGCTGCACACTGGCCTTTAAAATAGAAAAGGCAAAAAAAGGTAATCGAATATGCTCTATCTCTCTAGCAGAAAAAAAGGCAATTTCCATAAAATCCGTTCCCTGTTTATCATATCGGGCCTTAACCGCCAAAATAACGTAAGCGACACTTTTTTCAAAATTTTCTTTTTGATGCAGAAATATTCCTATAGCATCTAGATGCATTTCTGCATCAAAAAGAAAATTTTGAAAAAAATGTCGCTTACGTTATTTTGGCGGTTAGGGCTCGATATATTTGCAATGTTTTTCAATTTAAAATATTTTTGTTATTTTTTTTTTTTAATATGATGCTATAACGAAAACTCCATAAGTCAAACTTTCAAACTTTATACAGAATTTAAAAAAATCCAACAAATTTTCATCTAAATTTTGAACTTTTTAGTTTGAACTTTTAGAAAATTCTGGGTATGCATCGGTTATGTAATTCTATTAAAACCAGTGCAAGTTTTAAGAAGTTAAAATTCGCGTTAATTTTTAATAATTTTTTTTTCGGCGGATTTTGCGGTTTTTTCCTATAACAAATGCAATTTATACATTTATTTTAAGCGCTTAAAACTTGCACTTGTTTTACTAGAATTAACTAACCGAGGTATCTGCATTCCCATTTTGTTTTCTTAATTCGGATTAAAAAGTTCAAAATCTAGATCAAAACTCGTTGAATTTTTCTAAATTCAGTATAAAGTTTGAATACGAGGGTTTGATTAAAGCATGAACCATAGTTTTATAAAAAATAACAAACAAATTTTAACTTTAAAATCAATGCAAATATAAAAAAACACCATGCACTCACTTTTTCATTTTCAATGAAAACCTAACTTTTAGTTTGGCTGAGGGTCAGCGATT